ACAATAAATGCAATAATAGTATATTTTCAAAAGCGCACACGTCTCTAAACGGCAAGGATAAACGTATACACCGGACCTTAGGATCTGCGGCTATATGTATAGACGAAGGCGCGCGCGAAGCATGCGGGAAATAAATGAGTCTCGAAATTGTGGTGTACGGTACACCGGTGTTCGTGATAAGGCCAACCTGTACCTGGCTATCGTGGACAACACGACTATCGGCTCTTTCGAACCAGGAGCTGATTTCGTTTCTCTCTTTCGCGTTTATCTACCGATCCCGAACATCCTCTATGTGTTATACCACGTATTCCCTAGTCGTAGTATCGTGCCCGCACGATTCTTCTATGCACTTGCTGCAAGGTTATTCTACTTCTAAAATAAATCATTTCTGGGATCTTTCAGTTTGGATATTGTCTTAACGTTTCATGGGTGTGTCGTTGACGCATGCTGTATTTGCAAAAATAATCTTCGGATATCTGTTTGTATAAATTTTGAAACCAGATAAAAATGGCGCTGGGTAATGATGAAGTTTACGATAAATTTCTTTGGGTAGAAGTTTGAGGAATTAACACTAAACCTACCGGCATATAGTGTATACTTAATTTGAAATTAAAAAGGAAGTTAAAAAATAAATAAACAAACGACGCAACATAAAATAGAACATACATTTATCATTTATCTTGATAAAAATCAATACGGATTTCAAGGAATGTACTTTAACAAAATGTGTACCTTATAATCAGAAACTGGAGGAGCGGTCATTTGACCGGTTTGGTAGTTTTAGTGTTAAGATTACTTTTAATGACAGAGCTCTGCAATAGATACTTTGCGAAAACTTCTAAACCTACAAATTATGTATTAAAGGTACTTTTCCAGGTCCCATTTTCCAGTTTAAAATAATATAAAACAAAGCACTCGTGAATCACTCCGTAACCTTGTTAAAATAATTTCTGAATCACTGACAAAGACGAATTATCTATTTATCGCCGAGCAGGAAACTATCGGATGATTTTACCAATTAAGTAGTCTGGAAAGGATCGGAATAAATTAAAACCGATAAGGAGAGTATAATGAGTGACGGTATCAGTTTCCAATTATACCCGTTCAATTTGTTCTAGAGTTCTTTCAGGCGTGTATGGCCGGCCAGAATCGAAACGGTCGATTTTTCATTAAACTCGTGTGTAAACGATTGAAATCTCTGCCATTGTACTCTTGATTAATTTAGAAGCTCGAAATACTGCTAAAATCACGACGAAATGTTCCTAGCACGAAATATTGCTCTCAAACACGACACAGTAAGTTTCCATCTCATGATTCATGTATCGAATATATTCGACGTTGCCGGAAACAATTCATTGCTGAAATCTTTCGACGAACTTAACACTAAACCTACCGGCATATAATGTATACTTAATTTGGAATTAAGAATGAAGTTAAAAAATAAATAAACAAACGACGAAACATAAATTAGTACACACATTTATTCTTTCTCTTGATGAAAATCTATTCTGATTTCAAGAAATGTATTTTAATGAAATGTGTTCCTTATGATAAGAAGCTTGTGGAGCGGTCATTTGACCGGTTTGGTAGTTTCAGTGTTAAAATAAACCTCGATTAAAATACGTCAATTTAAAAATTATTATCTTATCGATAAATAGACACGATGCTCGCGGAAATTATCCAAATATATTTCTCTAGGGATATATTCTTTTTATACCAATCATACTTTCGTCGATCGAAGAGAAGTTCGTAAGTTTCATAGCCATATAACGCGTGTGTCACGCAGCGTGTAATAATATAACGCACGACGATAAAATACGTAATGATACAACCCGTAGCTAAACATACAATAATACAAAGCATGGTAATATCGCGTGGCAATAAATCGCGCGATTCATGAAATTTTTGCGAGCGTCTCTATAATCGCGTAATGGAGGTCGCAAAGAAAGGGTTAAGCGTGCGGAAACGCGGTTGGTAGTCAAATATTTGAATGACCACGGGCCACGAATGCTAGAAAAGTGGCGATCACTGGCACGGTTAATGACATTACGACTTCGGTGGGATGCTCTCGAGCAAATTACATTTGCCGGCCGAGCTGTGCCGCGAGCAAATGGAATAATAATAAGAGCAGACTGATACCGAGCGGGATAGTGGGTCATGTGAACGCGTTTAATAATCAAAGTAAGCCGTCCGTGTACCAAGTGGATCGATAATTTAAAGCTGTTCGTCTTTCGTACGGGCTGAAAAATTCTCCGCCATTGTTCTTCGATTCGAGACTAACCGGCGAGTTAACACGTTCGCTATCCAGCGGCAAATTATTCCCGTTCGTTTCGCTTATAAATGTTGGATACGTGGATACTGCTAATTAAAGATAAATGAAGGAGAGAAATTAAACAGGTACGTTCGCATTTTTCCGTAGAAATTGTCAGGTTATTTTAAGTCTATTTTGATTATCGACTTATTTCAAAAGTATTTAAGAAGACTTCGAAGGGTGCAAAATTTCTTTCTATCAGATATGCTCAAAGGATTTTAATTCCTGCCACTGAAGGTTTCCGTTAATCCAATCGATTCTTGCAATTAAAATTACTCGAGCAGAGGCGAAAAAGAAGGAGCTAATCCCACCGTTTTGGGATTTCAGGTCGGTTCCCGATAAAACTATTACTTTGCGAGGGTCCACGGAGAACGACCCTTTAAAAAGCCGATCCACGGCATCCTCTTACGAACGAACCGTAACTTATGCCCTCGAATCTCGCTCGGGAACGTGACCTGACCGTGTAACGCGAAATTCCTCCGAGCAGAGAGCTCGTTGCCCTCTTGGCCACGTTCGAAGCCTAGGGGTTGCAACCCCTTACGTTTCGCGCGAGTCAGTGTCGATTGATACGCGTCTACGTTGCTCCTCGACTGATTTGTGACCATCTCGTTCCGAACATAATGGATGGAGATGAATTTTTCACCTATCCGCTGAAAAATATTTATCTTCTGCGACTACGTTATACCGAATCGATCATTGATCCAACGTTCGAGTAGATAAATTCTGGGGAGGTCGAGTGGAATTTATGGAGGCAAGATTTCGGGGGGAGAGATGTCCATGGAAGACTGAAGGATGTATTCAGAATAGTGCAAATTTCGGAATTTGAGGATTCGGAAATTTGAGAAGAGAATTTTTCAGGGAATTTAGGAATTCGGAATTTTTTCAAGTAGGAAAATTTGAGAATAAGGGAGTTTAGGAATTCGGAATTTTTTCAAGTAGGAAATCCAAGAACTTGAAGGTCCAAGATTAGAAACTTGAGGATTCGGAAATTTGAGAGTAAGAGAGTTTAGGAATTCGGAATTTTTTCAAGTAGGAAAATTTGAGAATAAGGGAGTTTAGGAATTCGGAATTTTTTCAAGTAGGAAAATTTGAGAATAAGGGAGTTTAGGAATTCGGAATTTTTTCAAGTAGGAAAATTTGAGAATAAGAGAGTTTAGGAATTCGGAATTTTTCCAAGTACGAAATCCAAGAACTTGAAGGTCCAAGACTAGAAACTTGAGGATTCGAAAATTTGAGAATAAGAGAGTTTAGGAATTTGGAATTTTTTCAAGTAGGAAATCCAAGAACTTGAAGGTCCAAGATTAGAAACTTAGGGATTCGAAAATTTGAGAGTAAGAGAGTTTAGGAATTCGGAATTTTTCCAAGTACGAAATCCAAGAACTTGAAGGTCCAAGACTAGAAACTTGAGGATTCGAAAATTTGAGAATAAGAGAGTTTATTCGGAATTTTTCCAAGTAGGAAATCCAAGAACTTGAAGATCCAAGATCAGAAACCTGAGGATTCGAAAATTTGAGAATAAGAGAGTTTATTCGGAATTTTTTCAAGTAAGAAATCCAAGAACTGAAGACCCAAGAATTCAGAATATTTGTTAATGTGCAGGAAAATTGTGTAAAAGTAGAGAAACCTGAATGTAAAGGCAACCGAAAGCAAAAAGAAAGGTTGGCACGCGACAAAGCGGTAAATAAAGGGTAAATATTTTCTCGATTGCAGGTCTGTCGAATCGCGATACCATAATTTTCCATGATAGTAAAGGGGTGTTTTCCCGCGTTATCACGGCTAGCACCGTGGAAAAGTCTATTTCGGTCGGTGGACCAGCGTGATAAAGGTGTTCTTGTCGGCGGTACATGTGCCCGCCGTATTTAACATTTTATTTCACAGAAGCGTCGCAGTTTTCCGCGATACGAGTAATGCGATAAATTATTCCTCGTTCTTGCTTATCTTCGAGCCGTCTCTCTTTACCTCGCGTTTCCTTCTCGTCTTCTCCTTTCTTCTTCCCTATACTTTTTTTCCAGCCCGTCTAGCTCGCTTAATGTCGACGTTATTTAGTGCGCGCGTGGGAAAACGTTGCCCGGTTTGAGTTACGCTCGAGGAAAAACTAGCACGCTTCGAATTAACGCGGACACAGTCTCGATTGGGCGATCGAAATCGAAGCAGGTTAAAGAGGAAACTATTAACGTCCGTGTGAATTAAGACCGCGTTCAAGTTTGACGTGCTTCTAGCAGGAAACTTTTGGAGCTATCGAGTCGATGACCTCGTGTTCAAACACGATGCAGTTCGTTCGGAGAACATTGAAAATCTCTATTGATATTATATGTAATTTTGTGTGCTACGCGTGAGTGTGTGTGTGCAGCGCTGCAAGACGCGTTTGCAAAGAACAAATGAATTTCGGCGTTGCAATATACGGTCACGATGAAGTTTTGCTGCGGTGCGCGTTATCGGCGTTTATAATAATAAACCTAATTAATAATTAAATAAAGTTATATTATTTCGTTCATAAAGTACATTAAGAGTGTACTAGTGTCTTTATTTTTATTAGAAAAAGAACCATTCATTTAACATTTCCAATATTATTACAGGCGGAAAATTCGAATGCGACTTTCTGAATTAAAAATGTAAGACTACGTAAAGATTTGTATCGTGTACGAAATAATGAAGGAAATCAGCGAGAGGAACGAAAGAACAAGACCGGTTTTTACAAAACAAACGTGTTTATTTTCTCATGGTTCTTTGCTGAAATGGAAAGTGGCAATTAATTTAATAATCACGTAACAGATCGTGAATACAATATATATATGTATATATATAGTATATGCGTGATCCGATGAGCGTATTTACAACAATACAGTACAGAATCGATAAATCCGCAAATTTTCGAATAGTGACACGGCTCTCGTACGAGACCAGCCCTATATTCGTAGGTACAAGTGCCTGGCCACCTTGATGTGCTCGACAAGTGTGCGTGTGAATTATTTACAACGTTTCTCTCTTAGATATACACAAGTATTTACAGGAGGATCCACTTACAGACTAATAAGCGTTTGGCGACCGTTGCTTTTTCCAAGACAGTCGTGAATCTTAGGAACGAGGTGTGCTTTGTCTCGCTAGACGTCTTTTATTCATTCTCTCTTCTCTTTTATCGCGTAACGAGAATATCAGCTTCGTCGATTTCGATCAAAAACTTCCTACATCTGTATCGTATGTAGATCTAATCAGAGTTTCGGTGCATGATCAGCGGATTTTAAGAAAGATGCGCTAGAGAAAGATATGGTTGTGGTAGGAAAATGGAGATGTGGTTAATCAAACATTTTGTAAACGGATTTCGGCACAAAATATTTGAAATTTCAGTCTGTCTCTTATCACGGCACTGAATGAACTAAACCAATGTAATTGATCACATGTTTCACAAATTTTTCTCAAATTAAATTGCAGCTGCAATTACGGAGCACATTGTAACTTTTTGCAATAATTAAATACATTAAATTTTCTCAAATTTTCGAATGCAATGTTTACTATCAAATAATGTATCATATTTGAAACATGCCATTTTGCAACTACTATAAAATTAAATACTACATGATACAATTATTAAAATTGAAAATGAAAATGAAAAAAATGAAAATCTTTCTGAAAAATGGCTGAACATCGCTCGCAGAAAATCGCTGGAAGTTCGATTAAAATCGACGAAGATCTTGTACGTGAGAAACGTACGATTCCTTCGATTATTCAATTATTAAATCCTTCCTTTCTCTAACTAATAAATTGACGAACGAGCGACAGGAATGAGAACTAGGGTCGCGATTGCTCCGCTTCTCGAGTCGAGAAAAAAATATATATACGATTAGTACGAAGAAGAGGTCGTTTCGAGATTTGGAGCACACGCGACGGCGTATCATTCTCGTCTTCTTTTCATTAAATTCCGCTTCGATCGACACGCGAACCATGATATTATCGATAATCGCGAACGCGAGCTCGATCGAATCGTCGGCTACGAATCAACACGGTGCATTAACACGTTGAATACCGTGGGGTTTACCAATTACCGCCACCGTTTTAATAAAAATAGGATCAACGGATTAATTTCGTAAAGCGGCAGCTGGAACGTTTAAATTGGAAAATAAATGATCATATTCCGAATAATTATAATTAATTGCGTATCGTATTTCATGCGTTCGTATTCACCGGACCATTTAACGCATTCACCCTTAGAACAAAATGAACAATAGTACATTTTCGCTCGGTATTAACCTAAAGAACACATTTATAAAGTCTGCGTAATTTCGAACAGAAAATAATTTTTATCGATCATCGTACAGAAATTTTACCTTCGATTGACGCAAAAATCCGGTGCTTAACGTTGGAACAACCCTCGAAGGACGTGCTTTAAAGAAATTGATTTTTGCGAAGCTATCGAATCTATAGCTCGGAATATTATTTCTCGAGAGTTTCGAGCATGAAACTCTTTCGTTAGAAAGATTACGCGGCTAACTTTCGTTCGAATAACATCGTGTGCTATCGTCGAGATCGGTTGTTTCAACGTTCCATTCCATGAAGGGTTAAAAGAAACGCTTTTAATCGCCGGAGGAAAACGCTTGATCGTTAAGGTAAACGATGGTCTTGGAAATAAAATTAACCTCGAAACATAAATACATGATTCTCTTTCAGAATTTAAGAAACACGCCGTTCTCGCGTTTTCTTCTCTCTTGAAAAATCGAAACTCACGGAATATCTTCCAAGAAAATGAAACGTAAGAAATATCGTTCTCCGCGCTAAACCAATAGTTTATACAGCGTTCGAAAAATAATGTTGCAAACTCCGCTCGAAACGATTCGAGGATATCGATTTTTTCAGCAAAACGAACGTCCATAAATAAAAGATGTACCGAGAGTTTCCCGGCGAGTTTATCTGCTAAAATCTGCGCGGATCGAATCGAGGCGAGCGTACGAAAGGAAAAGAACGCGTATAGATTTCTCGTGAAAAGAACGAAAGCAAACGCGATCGTCGCGTTAATACGTACCGTCGCGAAACAAAAACGAAATCACGAATAATCGAGGAAATTCTCGTTGAACGTAAAATAAATAACAGCATCGTCGACGAGAAAGCGAAACAGCTGGCGGGTCGCATCGCGATCGATCGATCGAGGTGTGCGGTCGCGGGCGAAACGGGCGAAACTGCCGAATCGAGAAACAGTTATTTTTCAGCCGGTGATCGAAACTCTCCTCGTGTCGCGTCAAACTATCGACAACGCGGAAATATTCGACCTCGAATCCACCACTTTATCCACGCTCTTTCTCTGTATCGTACCGATCGGAAAATATACAGCGCGAAGACGTGTCCTGGACATTGATCGTGCAACAACAACAACAACGAAGAAGAGCTATAACAATCTACTTCGAACCGGGGTTGCGTTTGTCCGTGTTAGGCCCTAACCAGCGACGAGAATAATTGGAATCTATGTCCTCATTGACTGCCATTATGTTATCACCTAAAGCTTACTCTCTTCGCCTATCACCGTTCACATTGGCGTAACTAGGATTCTTCTTTCGGTCGCTATTAGTCGCGATCTTCGAGCGGTTTCTGAAAACTTCAGAATCGGCCATTTCAAACTTTAACGATTCGATTTAAAGAACCGGAGAGTTAGAAATTTAGAAATTTCAGTATATACATTTCGAAATTCCTGTACGAAGTATCCCACGATCTGTATCCTCGGTACATATTTAAGGAGGCCCACCCTGGTCCCTGTCCAGTTACGCCAATGTACACGTACACATGTACAATACATTCATAGAAGTAGATCTCCGCGGAAGGAAAACGATCTTCCCTCTCGGCTAGTACGTAAAAATAAATGACTCGATCTTCTATTTTACAAAGGAAAACGTATTTGACCCTGTTGTTCTGTTCATTTTAACGAATCGTTCTTGAACGAACCGTTGCGCTAACGAAAAATTGCTGGCTGATCATTGTATTTCGCGATACTTTCACGCGCGATGCGATCGTTTCGAACTCGAAGAACCGAGTGTTCGAAATTGGAAGAGAAACAAATTCGTTGAAAAAGAGATCACTTTCGGAGGAATTTGACAAGCTTTTTATAAGTGCGCGTGTTGCAGCTAAAAAAATATATCTATGTCGAGTATCGAGGAATCGCGTAATTGGAGTTGCATCGGGATCTAAAGGACTACGTATTTTGCCTACCTAGTAGTTAAAATTAAATTTCACCAGTTATTTCTATCCAGGTTATTCGAACATAAAAGAAATTCCTTTTACGCGTGTGCTTTTTTATTTACTTTTTTTGCGATATTTATCTCTGAATTTTGGGGTTTACGATACGCTAGTCTTTCGTGTCCCTACAAATGAAGAGACCAGCAGGGTTAAACGAACTGTCTCTTTTCGATCGTCAATCACCTTTACATACGTCGAGGTATACGAAAGAGTCACAACCTCGCGACCAATCGAGAAATTTTCTCGCGAGGTCAAACTCTCGTTGCGATACACCCTTTAACCCTTCGAACCCGACGCTCGAATCACAATTTCAATCGATCCAAGTAAGAACCGTTCGATTCGGTGATATCGTACTAATTTACTCGTTCGTTAGCGATAGACGAGCTCGAAACGGTTGCCAGACTAAACGGTACTTACAGCCGTGTAACGTCGAGGTAACGTAAAATTTGAATCGAGCACGAGAAGCGTCGAGTCGGAGGGGTCAAAGATCGAAACAGCGAACAAGATTTCGAACCGACCGATTCTAGTGGAAGAGCAAACGGACCGAGCGATTCGCGTAACGCGGATCGGTCGATCGCGAGCAACGAACGAAACTGTACAAATAGCTACACAACGTTTCCGGCCTGTCCGCGTCCGCGACCCTCCAACGAACTTTTTACAATCGCAGGCTCGATCAGAGTCCATGTTCCGCGACGGTGGGTCGCGGCCGACGACGTTCGTCCGTACTAGACGAAATAAGTACGAGGATTCGCCGGATGCGTCAAGACCTCACCGGGAGGTGCAGTGGGCACCGGTGGTTCCGGTATGGTGCTGTAAAGATGGCTGCCTCTGGAGGACAGGCTGGCCGGTCGCGCGTTTCCGGCGTGCAACGCGCTGTAACCACCGTGCTGTAGCTGGTGCTGGTGTTGATGTTCCGCGCCGCTGTCCTCGTCCTCGGTCCTGCTGGACGCGGAGCTGACATAGGTGGACTGCGTGGGCGTGGGCGTGGGCGCGTGCACCGGCGCGACCAAAACGCCGTTAGGCTTGGTCCACACGTCGCCGGCCGACGGAGCGGCGGTG